CTAAGCTCCCAAGACCTTTCATGCGGTTTCCTGTTTGGGGATCTGGGTTGACGGTTTAGGGCTCAAGGGTTTTGGGGGGTTTGGGGTTCAGGGATTAGAGCTTCGGGTGTTAGGTTTGGGGCTTAGGGCTTAGGGCTGGAGAAATTGTGAGGGGGCTACTGGGAAGCCCAAGACTAGAAGACCATCAAATCAACAGGCAGTTTTTTTTGGGGGGGTGTTGGCTCTTTCGAGGGGCCTAAACCCTAAACCCTAAACCCTAAAACCCTAAACTCCCCCTCCCCCCCCCCCCCCCCCCCCCGAACCCTCAAAACCCTGAACATCGGGGCAGGTCCTGAAGAATCTCGAAGCTCTGCTGCACCAAGTCGGTGCTGGAAACTCCATTTTGCCTGGCCCACCCAGAGGGGAGAATCGACCCTAAACCCTAAACCCTAAACCCTAAACCCTAAACCCTAAACCTTAAACCCTAAACCCTAAACCCTAACCTGAAGGCCTGGATCCTTGCGAGTCTAATTGAAGGGTTCATCGGATGCACTACTTGGCAGTAGAACGAGTTTAACGAGCTGTGACCATTTCTGGCTACCTAGCTTTGCTTGGAGTAGGATGAGAGGAACTGGCGGTCAGGGTGGCTATATCAATGTGCACCCTAAACCCTAAACCCTAGGCCCTAAACCCTCAACCCAAAACCCTTACAAAACGGTGGACTGTGGGCGTGCACTTTCTCTGCCTTTTGTCGCTGTTGAAGAACTAAAAAACCCCAGTAGCAACAATATTTCTAGACTCTCCAGTCCCACGGATAACAAAAAAACAATTAACAAAACAATATTTCGGGACTCTCCACCAAAACCGTACGGAAAATCCGTAAACCAAAAAAACCCAAAAAACAAAAAAACAAAAGAACCAAACAAAAACAAAAAAAAACAATATGTCAGAACTCTTCCAGCAGATGGCCTAATTTCACAGAGTCCCTGAAAATTGTTTTTTGGTTTTTCTTGTTTTTTGGTTTTTTGGTTTTCCGTACAGACTTGGTGGAGAGTCCTGAAATCTTGTTTTTTGGTTTTCCGTGTGAAATTTGTGGAGAATCCTGAAATATTTGTTTGGCTTTTATGTTCTTTTTGCGAATTTTGGCTCTTCGTGTAGTTTTCTTGTGCGTTTGTGGTGTTTTTGTGCTTTTCCGTACTGCCTTTCCTTCCTGAGCCCACCCTTCCCTCTGAGAAAATTGCGCTTTCCACGCGTTTCTATGCAAATTGTACTTGTCTAGGCATCGTATATAAAACGTACTGAAATTACTGGGTACATGAATAGGTTAGTTTCATATTCAAGTAGCATGTAAAGAGCGTTTGAGCATTGGTTCTGCCCCCAAACCCCACATTCCCATGCTCAGTTCTATAGCCTTTACTGGGTGGATGATATGGTTCTTAGAAATTTGTGCTTTTCAAGGCTTTTCTGTGTAAACTGTACTTGTCTAAGCACATAAATTTCATTATTACGTAATTGAAATAGTTTTCTGTAGTCAAGTACCATGTACTGAGCATTATGTCATATTCTGTGTATAATCAATAAACCTTGCACTCACCCAATAATTGAATATTCCCTGACTGCTAGATTGGTAGAATCAGCATGGAATGAGTATTGCATGGTTGAGCAATCTTTTGCCGGGTAGAAGCACAATTTGTCTGGAAACAGGTTTGTTGCCTAGAGTTGTTTGCTTAAACAGTTGGTTTATATATCTAGAGAGACTTTAAACCTCCCAAATCCAAACTTCACCAGAGGTTCTCCTGAAAAGCTTGCATTTCGGGATGTTTTTTTGCGTTTGTGAATTTACTAGTGCGCTTCTACTTCAATTAGTGTCTAGTGCGTACTTTAGTTGTACAAAAAGACGTCTTCTAAATTGAATTCATTTAGTCAACATTCAGCTATATACTAAGTGCTGCAGTAGTTAAACTCGCATAGGGCGAGTTTTTTGTATAATATACATTGAAGATTTCTTTCATGCGCAAAATCAAAGAGTGGTATGGTATTTGACTAATACTTTGCCTTGCGAAACTACAATATCCAATAAAAACATTCTGTGCCCTTCGAAAGAACAAGTTGCCAAGATAAATTAACACAAACAAACTATAAAGCCAGCATTGTCCTGTCAAGATTCGAAACATAGAGTAGCCCAATGCTGGCTTCTCGGAGCCTGTGAGGTGGGTGTCCCAATTGTCCCAATAGCTGTCCTTCACTTCCCGGTGCTCAAATATGCGATTTTAGGATTCGTTCTTCTGACTATACTAAGAAGAGCTGAAGCAAGGGTAGGTCGTTGGGAGGGGGGACCGACACCGTTCCCACAGGACGATCGCACTTGATGGGTCGTGTCTCTGGTCCTTTGAGTTTTTGACCTGCTACTTGACCAACAGCCTCATCGAAAGTGAGTTCTCCGTCTTGTCCTCCCAGCTCACGAACTAAGCCAGGTATAGACTCACCTGGATATCTTGCCATAGCCCGAAACACTGGGATACTCACTTGATCTGAAAAGCTGTTTCGATGTGATCAAGGCCTGGCATGAAGCGTAGTAGCACTTCATACATAGCATGTTCTCACATAAATAACGAAAAGGCAACTTCATAATTAAGATGAGAGAGATCACCACCTGAAGATTGAACGATAGTTATCAAGTACGAGAGAGTAAAAAAAAACAGAGAAAAAAAAAGCGCACGCCCACAGTCCCCCAGACTCAACCCTAAACCCTAAACCCTAAACCCTAAACCCTAAACCCTAAACCCTAAACCCTAAACCCTAAACCCTAAACCCTAAACCCTAAACCCTAAACCCTAAACCCTAAACCCTAAACCCTAAGCCCATGCCTGGACCCAAAGCGGATCAGAACATGAACATCTGACCCACCACAGGGCAGGGGGAGTTTTCTGAGTTCAGGTCCGCTTTGGCTGTTTCTACATCAGGTCCCTTCTTGGGCTCCGTGCATGTAGGTTTAGGGTTTGGGTTTAGGGTTTAGGGTTTGGGGTTTCGGGTCTAGGGTTTAGGGTTTAGCGTTTAGGGTTTAGGGTTTACGGTTTACGGTTTAGGGTTTGGATTTAGGGTTCAGGGTTCAGGGTTTAGGGTTGGCGAGGCCTCGAAAAGTCCTCGGAGACGGCGAGAATTTTGAGCTCCTGCGCTTCAGTGAAGGGGGCATTGATCTAGGACTCACGGCTGGATGTTTACGTACTTGTGTCGTTCATCGCCCCGATTCCTAAACCACGTCGGCTCTCACCCTGCCCCTAAGTCATCCCAACATGCAGTCGGTTTCGGTGCCAGCAAGCCCCTACAAAGCCAAAAACCTCTTGGAGAAAGGTCCCAGGGAGCTCGCTCAAAACTCTGCGCGGACCCTTAAACCATTATCAGACAACAATGGGTACAACTTCTAGGGGTTAGGGTTCCTTTCAAAGTCGGGGCGTTCAGGACTCAAAGGCTTGGAGCTTAAGGTTCACCTAGCACCTTCTGTAAAGGCTATAGAGAACAATAACCTTCACAAAGTAGCTCTAGGCATTTTTGGGGCGGAGACTTTAGGGCCTGCAGAGGCGCAGGCCTTCGTTTTCAAAAACCTTCCGACCCCTGCTGGCCTCACTGAGAGGATCCAGGATGAAAGTCGCTCCGCCAGCATCCTGAGGCGAGCTTTCTTCGATGCACCCCTGCGGTTGCTAAACCCTAAACCCTAAACCTTAAACCCTAAACCCTAAATCCCTGAACCCTGAACCCTGAACCCTACTTACACAGGCTTAGCTTCAAGCTCTACAGCACCCAACCCCCTCGTTGGCCGCTCGCTACGATCGGCCCCGTGCATGTCTTTGCACTGGGAGTTAAGCCCCTCCCCCTATATTCATCCCCCCCCCCCTCGTGTTAAATACTCCCTTAGAGTATAATGGCAGTAGAATGCAAGTGCTTGATATTGGGGGGGGGGGGGGGGTAGGGGACGGGGTTAACCCTAAACCCTAAACCCTAAACCCTAGACCCTAGACCCTAAACCCTAAACCCTAAACCCAATATTAGCGGGAGAGGGGGGTCTCAGGGTCTGTAGGGGGGTTGGGAGCGGTCCTTCCGGAGGGCGTCCTTCATGCAGGTCGGCAGCGCTCCCACCACGCACCTAACTATGAAGGAGGGGGTTATGCAACCCAAGGTCCCCCAATACTCCCCACTACTCCCCACAGGCTCCCTGAGCTTCCCTAAGGTTCCCCCCAAGCTTCACTCGGTACCTGCTCATGACACCCCCCTCCCTTAAGAACCCTATGATTCAAACTGGATTCAAGGACCCAGGCACATCACGTGAGCTGCCGGACTAGGGGAGCTATGCGGGGAGTGTGGTCGCAAGAGGTTTTAGCTCGATTGGGTCCAGGGAATCTTGAGTTTTGGGGCTTGGGATCTACGTGCTCCGCTGTGCTTTCCGCTGCGCGACTGGACGGCCTTTCGGATTCAAAAATCCGTGCCGCACACTACCCCTCAATAAGCCGAAATGGCCGAGGCAGCGTCCAGCAAGCCAGTCAGCTTCTTGGAACCTTAGGACAGAGCCTGGCATTCCGAACCACGCTGTTTCGGCTTCAGGGTCTCACTCCATGTTCGATGCCTCAGGGCTTAGGGGTTTGGGGTCTCTGGCACTTCACCTAAATCCCAAAACCTAAGCCCCTGACCCCCTTCCTACACCTCGCTTCAACAGCCTCAACCCCAAAACCCTAAAACCCAAAAAACGCCGGCTGCAGCCCACAGTTCCCAAAGCCCCACCCAACCGACCCTAAACCCCCGGACAAACCTCTCAATCCAAAAGTCCTGAACCCGAACGCCTCCAAAGCCCCTCAACCCCCCCCCCCCCCCCCCCCCAAAGCCCGAAGCCTCAAATGCCCTCAAAACCCTCAAAACCCTCAAAACCCTCAAGACCCTCAAGACCTAAACCCCTAAAACCCTTAAAGCCCTTAAACCCCTTAAACCCCTTAAACCCCTTAAACCCCCTTAAACTCCCTCAGCTCCCGCACCGCAAAGCGCTGCCCGAGCTGGCTCATGGCCATTGTCGTCGCTGAGGATCCGCCCCTGAAATTTCAGGGGTTCACCCTACCGGTTTAGGGTTTAGGGTATAGGGTTTGGGGTTTAGGGTTTAGGGTTTCGCTCCAACACCCCTTGATTAAGGAATCTACCTTAAACCATATATGGAACCCTCTTATACTTTAAGGAACATTCCTTACTTTCTAGGGCATTAAACCCTAAACCTTTAAGGCTTGGGCTTAAGGCTTAGGGTGTAGGACTTAAGGTTTAGGGTGTAGGCGGTCAGGGTTTAGGGCTACTGACTTAGGGCCTTGTGGCGTATGAGGTGGTAAGGTTGTTGCTGCCGGTCTTCGGGGTTTCAAGCATAACCGGATTCAGGGGCAGCCTCACAGTCTCACTTACTACAGGCGCAGAGACTGAAACCTCAAACCCCTGAACCCTTAAGCCAAAAAACTCTAGCCCTGAACCACAAAAACCTAAACCCTAAACCCTGAACCCCAAAACCTAAGTTCTAAACCCTAAACTCTGAACCCAAAACTTAAAACCTAAACCCTAAATCTTAAACCTAAAACCTAAGCCCCCAACCCCACAACAAAAACCGTTAACCCCGGGTCGGCCTTGACGTATTCGTAGCTCGTGAACAGAGCGATGTGGGCGGGCACACAGCCTGCTTCAGAGCTTGGAGGTTCATGAGTGCTTGTAAGTTGGGTTTGCGGTTGAGGGTTTGGGGTTTAGGGTTTGGGGTTGCGGGTTTTGGGCAAGTTTTGGGTTTCGGGTTTAGGGCTTAGGGTTGTTGACTAATACGGTTATACGCACCCTAAGTCAGGTTCTAACCATAGCTACCCTCCTTACAGCCCTGATTGCAAGTATGCATGAACCTCCAAGTATTGGGTTTAGGCTCTATGAAGAGCCAGGGTTCAGGGCTTCGGGTTTAAGGTTTAGGGTTCAGGGTTTAGGGTTTAGGCTTCGGGTTTAGGGGGTTCAAGACGTCCCCAAACCCCAAACCTGAAGTCTCGCATTCGGCCTGAGTGGGCTGGGATTCTGAAAGAAGCATTCGCGAGTGGGGGCAGCCAGAATCAGAGTCCCTTCTGGGAACCGATGATGATGCGGGCCCGTCCCCGTCTACTTCGGGTACCCGACAGACCGCAATTTTTCAACGATCCCAAATGGTTCCCCTGCAACTTGGACGAACAGACCAGCCGGAGGGGGAGTCGAGATGCAAGAGACTCCTCGGTACGTCAGCATGAGCATGCTAATCCCTACACACTAATTCTGGATCCAGCATGCATCTTATGATAGGTAGACCCAAATTTGGGGAACCCGCGTCATATCTTTGATATTAGCGATTGGGGCAGGGCAGCTTTGGCAGAGATTCGCAACATTGACAGGGGTATCGAAGTCCTGCCGTTCCTGATCAGCCCTCATCGGCTTGGACTGCCAGCGCTTCGTGAAGTCCAGTCATTGAGCTTGGCTTCTTTGGGCGAGAAGCTAGAAGTTCACGCCGACTTGCAGGCACGTCGCCCCGGCTGGGTTCAGCCCCGTGATAAACTGGAAAAAGCGCCGGGCAGCGAAGGCTTGTGGCAGCGACATCAAAGTGCTCCAGGCTGAAGATTTTGCCTTTGGGGCTCCCTGTACATATACCCCACGGCCAAGGCCCCCCAAGCGGCCTATGACGATGGAGGAGGCGCCGCGCATGAAGCCGTAACCCCCACTCTCCTTCGTGCAGAGGCTCGAGAGTTACTTCTGGAAGGCTCATGGGTCCTAGCTAGGGTGAGTAATAAGCCCCCCCAAAACCCTACTTTACTTCTCACCCCCAGATGAACCTCCCAGTTAGGTTGGGTCTAGGCTTCTTGCGGGGGATGAATATCAACAAGGGCTTTGCTTCGGTTGCAAGAGCCTTGCTTCGCGAGACGTGGGTGCGGCTTGTGCATGGACGCAGTGGCGTGGGCTCCAGCTTTGGGCTTTGGCTTTGGCAGGAGCTACAGAATGTTTCGGGGCGGTCCTACTAAATTTACATCCATATGTATAGGCGTACAGGACAGAGGTATGCCGGTATCACCTCATGTGTGTCAGACCGACATGCAGGCACTCAATTCAGGCAGCAAGATTCCGCATGTTTGTCAGACAGCAAGACAGAGAGACAATCAGAATGCGAATGTTTGTTATACAGGCTGGGGGGCAGGCAGACAGACAGACAGACGCATAGGTAGACAGACACACATCATGTTGTATTGGCTGCTGGTCCGTCGCCAAGAAACATAGATGCGCCTTCTTTCTGGCTTGTTTCCATTGTTTGGTTCAGGACTTTAGGGCTTTTGGCTGTTGGACTCCGTGCCAGAAACCCCTTCTACCCCATGGCAATGTCCGAAAACGCCCAGGCCCGGAACACTTCATGCAAAAGTAAAGCCCAGGTCTCTTTGTCAGGGCCGCAAAAGTCAACATGAAGAGAGCGGGTTTAGCCTTAAAACCCTCAACCCTAAACCCTTAAGCCCTAAACCCTGAACCCCTAAACCCTGCATGCCAGGGCACCGCAACGATGCTCTGCACGACGCTGGAAAGGGTTCGCGTGCCGCCCGGGCGCAGTGCCTCTTCAAGGAGATGCCCTGAAGCCCCAAACCCCAAACGATTCGTAAAGCCAAAAAAACCAACGTTACATAACCGAATAAAGCCCAACCCCTTTGTGGCACAAGGGCAAACTTGATTTTTAAGACCCTAAAGCACCTGAAAGCCTTAAGTGATCAACATCAAAACCTAGAGGATATGGGAGGAGCTTCCTGGGGCTTGCTTGGGTTAGGGTCGAGGGTCTCAGGAGCACAAGACCATCAGAAGAAGCGCGCCCGAGCGACCTGCATATGTGTCTTCACAGTGTCGAGCGGGTACATGCCAATGTGCTCCATGACACCAGCCTAGCTGAGCTTCGGGGTTTTTGTTTGGTGTTGGTGGATTGAGGTTTACAGTTGCGGGTTTGGGGATATGGGGCTGAGGGTTCCCTAAACCCTGAACCCGAAAGTTTAGGAACGTCAGGCCGCCAGCCCCCAACCCCAAGCCCCCGTCCGGCTTGAAGATCATTTGCAGCCATCACTAGAAACCAACATCAGGCCGTTGATCAGAAGCGATTGGCTGAAAGGTGATCACCTTTCTCAGCCAAGCGCTTCTGGGCTTAAGCAGACAGTGGAGCCGTGAGCGAATGCGTTCTTGGGGGGTGGTCCCATGTGTTTGACCACATGTGCCCATAATCCGGCCGTCGGCATGGCACTCACTGAAAGTAGGGGAGGCCGACAGCTTCGTGAAGCGCAGTGGCGTCGCACTATCGTCGGTGTTTGTCGGTGGTCGGTGTTTGTCGGAGACACAGTGCATCTGACCGGGTGCCCTGCCTCACCCAGTCCGATTGTCCAGCACTTCCCTTTGCACCATTGGCCTAGTGGGGGGGGCTCCGGGGAGTGCCTGCGATCACACTCACCGGAACCCCACACCAGGCCAATGGCGCAAAGGGAAGTGCTCGGCAATCGACTTCCCTGGGGCAGGGCTGTCAGCATCACATCAGATGGCAGCTGAGCAGTGCTGAACCAGGGCACGCAAATCCAAAAGCCATCCAAACCACCACGAAGCGCTCAACAGCCGAGCGTGCAGATTTTTGGGTTGGGATTGAGGCTTGAGGGTTTAGGGGTAGACTTTCATCTTCAGACCTCCGCCGTAAATCCTTCCTTTCCTTTACCAAAGCCCCCCCCCCCAAACGCCCCGCCCCCCCGGTTACCGTGACTCTAAATCGGTGCAACACTCGCAAACCCTCAAGACCCCCAATCAATTATAAGTATATGTGTATATAATCATACAGACATTTAAGACGGAGAAAAACAGGAACAAACCCTAAACCTCACGAAACATCCTTAAGGCACACTGCCTGAACACATCAGCCCCACCCCCCAGACTGTCGTGTAGAAACGGAGAAAATCTCCCGAAACCCGAAGCCCTGAACCCTGAACCCCGAACCCTAACCCTAAACCCTAAACCGAAACCCTAAAACCCTCACTAACCCTAATCCCCACACCGACAAGCTGCACAACTCCCGGCTGCAGCATGCTTCCAAAGCGGTGTCGAAGCCTAGGTGTGGTTGAGGCATTTTAGGCTCGGGGTTCAGAGACTGTTAAAGTTGTAGGGCTTAGGCTATAGGGTTCAGGTTTCAGAGGTCAGGGTTTGGGAATTTTGTGAGGTTTGGGGTTGCAGGATTGCGTTGGAAGGTTCATTCGAAAGTGCGGACATTGCTGCACTGTGTACGGTGTCTTCGGCGCGATGCAGAAACGACCCGGTGCCACCAGGAAGCTCAAGGCCAGACGTCCCCATCTCTCTACGAAACTTGAGACGAACCCTAAACCCTAAACCCTAAGCCCTAAACCCTAAACCCCAAACCTAAACCCTAAACCCCGAACCCTAAACCCTAAACCCTAACCCTACCCGCTAAATGCTGCGAAGCCCGACCACCCACCAAGTTTGGGGGCGCAGCATCCCACTCCTCCCACTGCTCGAAGCGGTCCAAGATGTCATCTGCACATTTTGTGGGGTTTTGGGTTTAGGGTTTAGGTTTAGGGTTTAGGGTTTAGGGTTTGGGGTTTAGGGTTTAGGGTTTATATAGGGTTTAGGGTTTAGGGTTTAGGGTTTGGGGTTTGGGGTTTAGGGTTTAGGGTCGAGAGTTGCGGGCTTAGAGTTTAGGGGATCACGGTCCCCTGTCGACAAAAAATACTAAATAATGCCTTGTCTAGGGGTATATCTCGAACTGCAAGTCCCAACTCCAAACCTTGCCACACGATATCTTGGCTGTATAACTAACGGAAAACCCTATGAAGTCTCAAGCCCCGAAGCCTCAAGCTTAGACCCTCCTAAACCCTAAACCCCGAACCCAAACCCTCGTCCAAACCTTACCCTGTAAGTCCAACCTCCCTGCCAGACGAGGCGGTTCACGAACCTTCTAGTATCGGAAAGCGGTTAGTACAACAGCCTAGTCTGGGTGTGTTTCATAACGGTGGTTTTGGGATACTTGCATACATGTCCAGAAGGCACGAGATCTCGGTGCGCCACACCGTTTTTCCAGCTAGAATCCTACACGTGCAGCGGTGCAAATGCGTTACGTCTGCAGCATCACGCCAACATCACGCCGGATCACGCCTAAACTGGGTGGTTACATGTGGCACAGTACAATCTATCGACTAGAGCCTTTGCCAGCATCACGCTGGAGTCACGCCAACATCACGCCCGGTGCCCCCAAAATTCTCACAAAAGTGCAATTTGGAAAACAAAATGCCCAATTTTAACGCACAAATTCACTCAAAGTTGTCCTCGCCAACCGCCACTGATGCCGCGGAAGGTGGTTTCCCAAACAAGGCTGTTGATTTCTATACTGGGCGGTTGCTGTCTGTTCCCATGGGACGGTTGACGCACGGGGTTATCCAAGCCCCGTCCCCCCTCCTTCTCTGAAAACAAAAAAACTCCTAAAACCTAAGCCCTACAACACTAAACCCCTAAAACCCCTCAACCATGAACCCCCACACCCCCGACCCCCCCCCCCCCCCCCCCCCCCCCCACACCCGAAACCCTAAACCCTAAACCCGAAACCCTAAACCCTAAACCCTAAACCCGAAGAAGCTTCTGCCGGAGCCTGAGGAGTCCCCTGGCCTCTCAGGGTCTCCCGGTGTTGGAGCCTGCAGGGCTGCGGTCTTTGGGGTTTAGGGTTGAGGGTTTTGTGTTGAGGGTTTAGGGTTGAGGGTTCAGGGTTTAGGGTTTAGGGTTTAGGGTTTAGGGTTCAGCAGCTCCGGGTCGAGCAATCTCTAGTAGAGCCGCCGTTTGGGCTCTTGAAAAAAACCCACCCACCCAGAGAATCCCAAAACATTCAGAAATAAAAAGTTTACATTTTTCATCAGCAAGCCCTGTCCTCCAATCTCATTTGTTCTTTCTGCTCGTGTTCTTTGTCATTCTGCTTGGTTTCCATTCTGCTCGTGTGCGTTTCTTTCTGCTCGTATTCATTCTGCTCGTATTCGCTCTTTTTCTGATCTGCTCGTCTCGTGTTCGTTCTCGTTCTGCTCGTATTCATTCTGCTCGTATTCGTTCTCTCTCTGCTCGATTTCTGTCCGCTCGTTTTCGTTGTTTTTCTTGTCGTAATCATTCTGTTCGTATTCGTTCTCTCTCTCTCTGCTCGATTTCAGTCTGCTCGTCTTCGTTCTCTCTCTGCTCGTAATCATTCTGCTCGTATTCGTTCTCTTTCTGCTCATATTCATTTTGCTCGTGTTCGTTCTCTTTCTGCTCGTATTCGTGCTTTTTCTGCACGTATTCGTTCTCTCTCTGCTCGATTTCAGTCCGCTCGTTTTCGCTGTCTTTCTGCTCGTACTGAGTCTGCTCGTACTCATTCTCTTTCTGCTCGTATTCATTCTGCTCGTATTCGTTCTCTCTCTGCTCGACGTCAGTCTGCTCGTATTCGTTCTCTTTCTGCTCATATTCACTTTGCTCGTGTTCGTTTTCCCCGGTGACCCTGCCTATTTTTGGCCGTCTTGTTGGTTGTGTTTGGCACACGGTTGCTTTCCAATTAGTGCCCCGGTGACCTCGCCTCATGTTGGCTCCTGCTCGTAGGGTTTGATGAGAGGCCTAGAGGTTTGTCGTATGTCCCCTCTCTTCGTGCTCGTAGGGTTTGTCGTATGTCCCTCCCTTCATGCTCGTAGGGTTTGATGAGAGGTCTACAGGTTTGTCGTACGTCCCCTCCCTTCGTGCTCTTAGATTTTGTCGTATGTCGCCTCCCTTCGTGCTCGTCGGCTTTGTCGTATGTCCCTCTTTGTCTGCTTGCAGAGAATCCCAAGAATTAAGAAACTGAGGTTTTATTTTCAGAGGTTTGTCGTATGTCCCCTCCCTTCGTGCTCGTCGGCTTTGTCGTATGTCCCTTTTCTTCTGCTTGCAGAGAATCCCAAAACATTGAGAAATGTACGGGTTTATTTTAGAGGTTTGTCGTATGTCCCCTCCCTTCGTGCTCGTAGGGTTTGACGAGAGGTCTACAGGTTTGTCGTACGCCCTCTTCCTTCGTGCTCTTAGGGTTTGTCGTATGCCTCCCTTCGTGCTCGTAGGGTTTGTCGTATGTCCCCTCCCTTCGTGCTCGTATGGTTTGATGAAAGGTCTACAGATTCGTCGCATGTCCCTTCCCTTCGCGCTCTTATAGGGTTTGTCGTATGTCCCCTCCCTTCGTGCTCGTCGGCTTTGTCGCATGTCCCTTGTCTTCGAAATTGCTCTCCCCAGACCGAAGGTAGAACCAAAAGTGTTGGTCCGGATTGACAAAAAAACTAATTTGTTAACCTCATGTTTTGTTTTCCCCCACCCCACCCTCGAACCATTCCAGTTCGAGCCAATCCCCAACCCACCCTAGAACCAACTACCCGTATTCGTTCTCTCTCTGCTCGTATTTCTCTGCTCGTCTTCGTTCTGCTTGCGTTCGTTCTCGGGGTGGGGCAGGTTTCCAACCCCAGAATGGGGGTCCGGAAGTTTCCCCACCCCACCCTCGAACCACTCAAGATGAGAAAGACTGAGAAGCGGCCACCGCATTGCCTGGCCCATCTTGATCTGGCCCAGACCCAGGTTTTCAAGCCCAGAATGAGGGTCTGAAGAGGGAAGAGGGAGGGGGGGGGGTGGGCAGGGGGGGGAGGGGGGAGGGGGGGGGTGAGGGGGGGGGGAGGGGGAGGGGGGTGGTCAGGGCGGGCATGGACTGCAATCCTCCACACACGAGAGATAGGGGGTAGGGGCGAGGCCTATAGGAGGGGGGTGGGGGGGGTGGGGGGGGGTGGGGGGGGTGGGGGGGGTGGGGGGGGTGGGGGGGGTGGGGTGGGGGGGTGGGGGGGGTGGGGGGGGGGGGGGGGGGGGGGGCAGAGGGGGGAGGGGGGGGGGGGGGAGGGGGGGGGGGGGGGGGGGGGGGGGTGGGGGGGGGGGGAAGGGGGGGGGGGGAAAGGGGGGGGGGGGTAAGGGGGGGGTGGGGGGGAGGCAAAATCAAAAAGCCGTGGCCAAAAAACGCCGTGGCCATTGGCAAAAAAGCCGTGGCCATTGGCAAAAAAGCCGTGGCCATTGGCAACTTTCCCGTGGCCATTGGCAAATCCCACTTGCCAATGGCCACGGCTTTTTTGCCAATGGCCACGGCCCCCATTAAGGTTGGGGCCCAACCTTAATGGGGAACGTGGCCATTGGCAAAAAAGCCGTGGCCATTGGCAAAAAGCCCGAAAAGTTGCCAATGGCCACGGCTTTTTTGCCAATGGCCACGTTCCCCATTAAGGTTGGGGGGCATTTTGTGCGAATTGGGTTTGAAAAACCCATTTTGGCGACCAACCTTAATGACATTGGTGGCCATTGGCAAAAAAGCCGTGGCCATTGGCAACTTTCCCGTGGCCATTGGCGAATTTGCCAATGGCCACGGCTTTTTTGCCAATGGCCACGGCTTTTTTGCCAATGGCCACGGTTTTTTTGCCAATGGCCACGGTTTTTTTGCCAATGGCCACGTTCCCCATTAAGGCTTAAATTATTATATGATAGAGAGAGTTTAGGGTTTAGGGTTTATTCGGGTGTTGGTTTAAGGCCTTGGGGTTTTGGGCTGAGGGTTTGGGGTTTACGGTTTTGGGATTTCAATTTGGGGGTTTAGGGCTTAGGGTTTGGGGCTTTGGGGTTTACGGTCTTGAGTTTGGGTGGTTTGGGGTTTAGGGTTCTGGGTGCTTAGGGTTTAGTGTAGGGTTTTGGGGGTTCAGGATTTAGGGCTTAGGGCTTGGGGTCCAGGATCGAGGGCTTGGGGTTTCGGGCTTCCGGCTTAGGATTCAAGGAATCGGGCTCTTGGATGCAGATTTTCATGTACGGTTCAGGGCTTAGTGCGCTCAAGAAGGCCACCTCCCGACATCTACACAGGCAAAAACAAGCTGCCGAACCTCTCGGCACCTGGCTAAGCCTAAGACCGGTCAACCCATGCCCTGAGCTCCAGGCCCTAAGCCCTAGGATGGCTTCTGGCCTCCTGATGAATATCGCAACAAGGGTCCCCTCATCAAGTGAGATCCTTGTTCTCAGTCTTGGGGCTTTCCACATCATGGGCAAACAACGCAGAAATCGTTCAACCGGAGCCAGCGGATCGAGACTAAAACCCCAAACCCCTGAACTTAACCCTATACCCCTAAACCTCTGAACCCCTAAACCCCTAAACCCCTAAACCCCTGAACCCCTAACCCTAAACTCCCTGAAACCCTTAAACCCCCAAACCCCTAAACCCTCAACCCTCAACCGAGATGTCTTGAGAGATTTTTGGGCGAATGGCAGCCCAAGCTCGCGAACCCAGGCCCCCCCCCCGAAAAAAGGCCGGGCAGAACCGACCTCCTTCCACAAACTGCATTCGGGTTCGGTGCGGTAATGCTTCGTGCTCTTAGGGTTTGGGGTTTAGGGTTTGGGGTTTAGGGTTTAAGGTTTGGGGTTTAGGGTTTAAGGTTAGGGTTTAGGGTTTAGGGTTTTAGGGTTTAGGGTTTAGGGTTTAGGGTTTAGGGTTTAGGGTTTAGGGTTTAGGGTTTAGGGTTTAGGGTTTAGGGTCTTGGGTTTAGGGTTTCGGGTTTAGGGTTTAGGGTTTAGGGTTTAGGGTTTAGGGTTTAGGGTTTAGGGTTTAGGGTTTAGGGTTTAGGGTTTAGGGTTTAGGGTTTAGGGTTTAGGGTTTAGGGTTTAGGGTTTAGGGTTTAGGGTTTAGGAAACCCCACAAACCCTGAGCTCAACCCATGGCGTGGCCAAGGCCCTCGCCGGACCCGAGGCCGGAGAGCTCAGCGCGGAGGAGGCGCCGACCTTAAGGATTTTCTGTTTTTTTAGGGTTTAGGGTTTAGGGTTTAGGGTTTAGGGTTTAGGGTTTAGGGTTTAGGGTTTAGGGTTTAGGGTTTAGGGTTTAGGGTTTAGGGTTTAGGGTTTAGGGTTTAGGGTTTAGGGTAGGGTTAGGGTTTAGGGTTTAGGGTTTAGGGTTTAGGGGGATTAGGGTTTAGGGTTTAGGGTTGTTGTTTTTTTTTGGGGGGGGGGGGGGGGGGTGGGGGAATATGGGGGGTTTGGATTTGCGTATTTTGGGGATTTGGGGTTTAGGGTTCAGTGAAAGAAGCCAAAAAAAGGCCCAAAACTGATGAGGGGGGTTCTTTGCCACGAGCACGACCTTTCCTTGGCTTCCGGGCCGTACTCGGGCATGCGCAGGCAGGCCCTGGACGACATGCAAGGTTGGTCTCAATGAACTATGGTAACAATGGGTCCTTTTGATAACCCAAGAATCCTAAACACTAAACTCTGAATCTTAGGGCTGGCTGGGGGTGTGAAGCCATTTGGGGTTTGGAGGTTTAGCTACGTAGGGCGCGGACCCTCCATCCCCTGAACTCTCAACGCCCCCTCCCCTTCCAGCCTCCACTATGCACTCCGCCACAAGCACAAGTTTGAAGCATCCTCCAAGCAGTCACCATCGGGACGTCTTCTCTATGCGGGAGCTGGTGTGGATGAAGTTTGCAGTGGTCTCTCGGGGCTTACGCAGGGTCCTGATTTTTTGGGTTCGTGGAGTTTTGGGGCTCGGGGGTTTCTAGGCTCCACTGGCTACACAAAATTCCGTGACGAGAAGGCCCTTGCCATGAACGTGCACGCCGCAGACACGGTCTTTCTGGATTCTGCGTCTGCAGCATGGGAGTCATACATGGCTAAACCGACGTGATACATAAGCAAAGGGCTACAGGTGAGCCTAACCCACGGTGCCCGCAAATTTGTCCTTCGTATCCTAAGCTACAACAGCTTCACGAGGGCACATGGGCTGCTACCTCGAGATTTGTACATCACAGAAACAAGTCCACTCACCTACAATATGCCTTGGGATGTTCAGGACTGTTAGCATAAGGGGGAACATCCCAAGATATGCCTCTTCCAGACTGCGTCCGTAACACGTCCGACTTATGCGACCTTGGTAGCTAAGGTGGGTGGCCTGCCGCCTGTGTACACGTCGTGTGCACGTCGTGTAGGTGAAACATGCCCCAAGAGGACTCCATGATTGTAAGAGGACTCCCGAAATTCGGAAGCCTTATGGAGCCTGAACTCCTTGCAAATGGGGCCCCACATATGTATGGAGTCCTCTCGTGGTTGCCATAACGAAGGTACTGGGCTCATGCATGCGGCTTCCGCGAAACTTTGGCGGCCGAGCGCCTGGATGAGACAAGACGCTATGGGGCTCAGGGCTTCGGGGCGAGTCTCCAAGCTCGCAAGTAAGTTTAGGGTTTAGGGCTTAGGGTTTAGGGTTTAGGGTTTAGGGTTTAGGGTTATGGTTTAGGGTTTAGGGTTTAGGGTTTAGGGTTTAGGGTTTAGGGTTTAGGGTTTAGGGTTTAGGGTCCAAAAGGGTGCTGCCTGGTAACGGGGCGCCGAGACAGGAAACTACCCATAGGAGAGTTCTGATGATTGAACTGAAGGCAGATTCCCGAAATATTTCGGATCGAGGTTCCCCCCACCCCCCCGATTGACGACCTGTGCAATCGCCCTCCAGCAAAATCTCTAAACACACCCCCAACTAAAACCTTAAAATCAATCGCTTCGGACCCGTTTTAGGATCCCAATGGTACTTCAAGGGAGACTCTAGAATAAACGGAATCCTGGAGCCTCAACCTTAGGGTTAGGTTGGAATTTGCGTTTTGGGGTTTAGGGTTCCCGGTCGGAGTTGGGGTCGGAGCTTGGCTCTGCATTCAATAAGGATCCATCCAGATAGATTCTGCATTCGGTGCCAAATCATGCACATGTTTTTGCGCATAAATCGTTTCAACTTTCTTGACGCTACAAAGACGTCCCGTAATTCAGAATTTGGTAAATCCTTGTCTTGCAAAGATCCCGCCACGCAGGGAGCTTAATCTCGGAAATGAGGAGGTGTGGGATTCTTTCCATCGCCTGGAGCTTTGTATTTCTGGGTTGTCTTCGATTGTTCTCTGCTTTTCGTGTTGCATGAATCTGAGACCCGGAGGGATTTAGGGTGGGGGAGCGGGCGGGCCTTCAATCTGGTCTTTCTGTTCCATTCTATTTACCTACCTTGAGAGTTCGACTCGACCCCAAACAAGATACAGACTTTATTCCGCAGAGAAAAACGAGACACGAAGCAAGCACTCAATATGCCCCCGGGCTTAGAGCCTGGGCTCCAGCTTCTGCTCATCTGGGATCACATCGAGCGGCAAAAGCCTCTAAACCCTGAAGACCTGAACCTAAAAAACCCTAAAGCCCTAAACCCTAAACCCTAAACCCCAAACCCCAAACCCCAAACCCCACAACCCAAGCCCTTGACTGGACCATGGCGAGATACAGTCGGTTGACTCCTTCTCGGCCCAGTCGTGTAAGACTCTCCTGCAGCCGCGCTGGGAGGGTTTCAGTCGGGTTTAGGAGGCAGTTGGGATGTTCCCCCCTATACTAACAGTCCTTAAGAGGGCTTCTACTTAGGGGAACCTGCAATCCCTATGAGAGTGTAAGGGGGAACATCCGAAATCTTGAGGGTCGCTTCGGTCTTAAGGTGGCAAGAGCCAAGCACCCCTTGTTTCCCTGCAGCTCTCCCGCACGGCGCGCTGGGCAGCTTTATCCGGATCGTCCAGATGGGCTTCGAGCATCAGGCAGACGTACCTGACACCGGCAAAAGCCAAAACCTCAACTCTTCAACCCTTCGCGGCTTGCTGTCCATGATACTAGCGATGACAACAAATGCAAGAACAATAACAATAATACAAGAACAAGAATAACGATAGCCGTAGCAATAACAACAACAATAGCAATCACGAGAGTCATAGTGACATGGCTGCTAGTTCTTGTGACAGGTGCTCGTCGCCCGTCTCCGCGACAACCGCCAGAGCCTCCGCGGCCTCGGTAAAAACGACACAGTGGACCCTTTTCGGGCTTGGGGGCTTGGGATGGGTACTAGAATCCCTATCAAGGACTGTTCGTGTAAGGGGGAGCATCCCAACCCTAAACCCCCAACCCAATAACAAACACAAAACCGGGCTGAGGGTTAGCTGAGAGCAGCGCCATCTTTCGGAGGATGGGGTCCTCGTCCTCCCATCGCGCTGGTGTGCTTATGGCTTGAGCGGCTTGAGGCTCAGGACCTTCTGTTAGGGCCTCTTAGGCCGTTCAGGCAGGGAACCCAACCCCACCACCCTACCCCCCCTCCCCCCCAGCCGGCGGCTTCTTCTTGTTTTGTTCGGAGCGAACTTCCAACTCGGACACAGTGGTGGGCGTCAATGGCCTAAAAAGCTTTGAGCATTTTAGGCTTCTGATAGAGTCCTGCGTCCAGAAAGGTAGCAGGCATCAGTCAAGGGATGAAAGGACGGACCCTTATAAGGGACCTTAGGCGTTATTTAGGGGCTACTTAGGTACATGGGGAGTATGAGGTCTATAGAGGTTATATGAGGCAAGAAGATTAAGGGTCCCTTCCAGGGGTCCCTCCCCTTAAATCAGTGGGTTTCGGCCCCACCCTGTGCCATACATCATGCCAACCCCTAAACCTCTGAACCCAAAGAAGTGGAAAAAAGATCGGCTTGCAATGCGTCCTCAAGGCAGGACCCAAGGGTCTTGTGCACAGCCCGGTCGTACTTCATGACGACCTCAGGGGGGAGGAGGGAGTTGGACGTGTAGGGTTTTGGTGAACTTGTTTCTTTGGGGCGAGTCGGGGCGGTCAGGGTGTGCACATCACAAAAAACCCTAAACCCTAAACCCTAAACCCTTAAACCCTAAACCCTAAACCCTAAACCCTGCTTGAAGCCCCAAGCCCCAAGCCCTGAGGCTCCATGCTCAAGCGTCTCGGGCCCCCGGAGGAAAGGTCCCAAAAGCCAAAACGAGCATGTCTCAAAACAAGCAGAAAGACAGTGAACCCCCTAAGAGGGGTATCCACAAATATTGGCAATCCCTCACCTACCCTCAACCACAAATTCTGGGCCCCTTGTGGAGGGGGGTCTCTATTCTCGGTCGTAGCAAAACTGAGAGCCATAAGTATCGATGGGCTCAGGTTGAAACTTCAACTGCAAAGTAAACCTAGCTCAGCTCTAAACCCCACAGAAACATTGCAAAAATCCTACATGAAGACCCACCCTCACCCCACCTCGGAAAGAGACTCCACCGCTGCAGTCCGTACCTGGTGATCCTTGGATGGGGCGTTCGAGGTTTGTGCACGTACAAAAAGCAGCCTAGGAGGCATCTTAGGGCTGTTAAGCGTTTCAGCCTGAAACCCTGAACCCTTGAGAAACATTCTTCAAAGAAGGCAGCCGAAACTCCAAAACCCTCAACACCGTCCCCCCCCCCCCACCCCCCCCACCCAACCCTAAACCCTAAACCCTAAGCCCTAAACCCTAAACCCTAAACCCTAAACCCTGACCTTGTCCCCAAGCATGTCGATGAGCACCGCGATGGCGCGCGCGTCGCCGGTGTCCACCTCGGTTCCCCCCCAAGCCGGTTTCGGAAGTTTCGGGTTTTGGGGGGGGGGGGGGCTTAAGAAGGCTTTGAGAGCACCACAGTGATTTTTGCCTTTTCTATCTGCATAATATCCCGATTCTGATGGGGTAGGGGATCAAAAAAAAACTTATTTGGGATCAAAAAATAATTTATTTGTAGGCGGATCAAAAAAAAACTTATTTGGGATCAAAAAACAATTTACTGAAGGCTTTGAAGGCTTCTTGCAAGCGGAGCGGAGGCTGTAAACGCTCAGAAATGCAGCAATTCTGGCCGTTCGCAAGCTTTAAATACCCAAAAAACCAAGCATTTATGCGGGAACTACTGAAAATAGCAGCATTTCGGAGTTTCCAGAGAGGCTGCAGATATTGTATATAGCAGCAGTTCTGCGCTTTCAGAGGATGGAAATACTGTACACTGCAGCATTTCTGAGTTTCCAGAGGCTGCAAATGCTGAAAATAGCAGCATTTCTGCGATTTCAGAGGCTGGAAATACTGTAAATAGCAGCATTTCTGAGTTTGCAGAGTTGTGTTTTTGTGTCTTTTGTAATATGTTCTTGTATATCATTGTATCTTATTGTGTCTTCATGCTTTTTTTGCAAAAAAGTGCTCGCATCATGGGATTGGAAGGATTCATGTGCTTTGAAGCAAGCTTGCCCGGACTAAGAAAACAGCGGGGGGGTTGGGGGGGGGCGCAGCCCCCCCCATTTGCAAACACAACGCTCGCATCATTGGTTTCAAACTCGAACTCGATTCCGCAGCGGTCTGGTCTGACCTACTAGCTAGCTGTAGCTCATGACATATGTCACGGCCGCTCTGTGGCGGCGATTAACAGCTTCGGGTATGGACATGCAAGGCAACTGCACAGGAACCGAAGTTCAACAAACTGTGCAGTACAGGGTCTCCAGCGCTCACAGTCGCTCAACCTAGCGTTCTCGCGCTTACTAACTAGGGAGTAGACAGTGACAGCTCAGCTGAACAGTGAATGAATTGTCAACA